CCCTCGCCAGTTCGCCGTCCGCAAGAAAGTGCAACTTCTCTCGGGGGAGTGGGCATGGCGGAAAGGGGAACCCAGGAAAAAGGATGGCTTTTGGGCATCCATTAGGAGGCGCGTGAGTCGCCGTGCCGCGCCCAGCTACCGGTCCTCCGTGCTCCGCCAGATGGCATACTTTTACCAGTGGCTCTACTGGAGGAGCGCGGACCCGATTGCAGACGCACTCCGAGGTCGCCGCGCTGGCCCCCAGGCCATGGACATGGCGGCGGCCTTGGGCCAGCTTCGCGGCCGGTTGAAGGACGCAGTCGGAGAGCACGCATTGGCAGATGCAGGAGACGTCTGGCTTGAAGCGGTAGTGGACCAGCGCAACGATTTGATGCCAGATTTCCCTTGCAGGAAGCGGAAGAACGAAAAGCGCCCACCCAACAAGAGGAGGACAGGCGAGCAAGGCGAGCAGGCATAGGAGTCGAGCTGCGTAGGGCGCTGAAAAGGCAGACGTCGAGCTACGACGCCCGATGTTGTTGCTGCCGCCTCCTCTACTTTCATTGTTATTACTGCTGCGAGTACGACTGCGACTACTATAATTACTACTACTACTACTACTACTAGCATTTCCTTTTACTACAACTACTAGAACTACCACGGCTACGCCTACTACTACTACTACCACTACTACTACTACTACTACTACTACTACTACTACTGCTACTACTACTACTACTACTACTACTACTACTACAACTACTGCTACTGCTACTACTACTACTACTACTACTACTACTACTACTACCACGGCTACTACTACTACTACTACTACTACTACTACTATTACGACTACCACCACTACTACTATTACTACTACTACTACTACTACTACTACTCCCACGACCACTACTACTACTACTACTACTACTACTACTACTACGACTACGACTACGACTGCTACTACTACTAAAGAAATCTTTGGATTCCCAGGAAACCGACCAATTCATTGGGAATCCGAGGACTCCGTACGTAAACCACACCTTTCGCGTGCGTAAACCACACCTTTCGCGTGCGTAAACCACGCCACTCGCGCGCGTAAACCACGCCTCTCGCTCACGTAAACCACGCCACTCGCTTGCGTAATCCACGCAATTCGCGTACGTAAACCACACCACTCGCTTGCGTAAGCCGCGCCGTTCGCGTGCGTGGGCCACGCCGTTCGCTTACGTCGACCACGCCATTCTCGTACGTGCACCACACCGTTCGCTTACGTCGACCACGCCATTCGCGTACGTGCACCACACCATTCGCGTACGTAAACCACACCATTCGCTTACGAAAATCACACCATTCGCGTACGGAAACCACACCATTCGCTTACGAAAATCACACCATTCGCGTACGCAAGCCACACCAGTCGCTTACGAAAACCACACCAGCCGTGTGCGTAAACCACACCGTTCGCTTACGTGAACCACACCGCTCGCGCACGGAAACCACGCCATTCGCGTACGTAAACCACGCCATTCGCTTACGAAAATCACACCATTCGCGTACGTAAACCACACCATTCGCTTACGAAAATCACACCATCCGCGTGCGAAAACCACACCGTTCGCTTGCGAAAACCACACCAGCCGCGTGCGTAAACCACACCGTTCGCTTACGTGAACCACACCGTTCGCGCGCGGAAGCCACACCGTTCGCGTGCGTAAACCACGCCATTCGCGCACGTAAGCCACACCACTCGCTCACGGAAACCACGCCGCTCGCTCACCGAAACCACGCCACTCGCTCACGGAAACCATACCATTCAGGTACGTGAACCACACCGCGTGCTCACGGAAACCGCACCATTCGCGTGCGTGAACCAAACGACTCGCTCACGGAAACCACACCATTCGGTGAAGTGGAAGACGCCAGTCGCGCACGAAAACCACGCCAGCCGCGCGCGTAAAGCACACCCACGCACGAAAGAAAGCACGATTTCATAAGAAAAACAATGGTTTTCGGAGTGGCGTCTTGAATCCGGGGTCGGAGAACCATGCGTCCAGCGAAAAAGGAGCCCTCCAAGCCCCAGGACCACTTGGGGAACCCTAAGGTGCGCCGCGGGGACACGGAGGGGTTGCGTTTTCTAGCTTGCGCCGTTTACAAGGGTAATGGGTCCGGCGTCTTGAATCCCGGACCCGCCTATATATATATATATATATATTATATATATTATATATAGATATATGATCGCCCCCCCCCCCCCCCCCCCCCACACCCCAGCAACGACGGATTATCTTCCTCCTCCTGCTCCTTTTCATCCTCCTGGTCCCCCCTCCCCCTCGTGGGAGCACCCTCCTCATCGTCATTATCTTCCTCCTCCTGCTCCTCTTCATCCTCCTGGTCCCTCCAAGGAGGGGAGGGCAGGGAGCGGAGGGAGGGGGGGAGGGGGATTGCATTGCAGTGGATTGCGACCGATTGCGTTGCAATCGTTTGGTTGCAATCGATTGGATTACAATCGGTTCGATTGAAAAGGATTGGACTGCAAGGGAGGGGGAGAGGGGAGTGGAGGAGAGGGAGCGGAGGGAGGGGGGGAAGGGGATTGCATTGCAATGGTTTGCAATCGATTGCGTTGCAATCGTTTGGATTGCAACCGATTGCATTGCAATCGATTGGATTGCAATGCAATGAGGGGCGCGGGGCAGCCTCGAGCGACATGCGCAGTGCGTAGGATGTCTGGGCGGTCGTGAATGGAGCTGCCTCGAGCGACATGCGCAGTGCGCAGGATGATGATGAGAAGAACGCGTAGGAGGAGGACGAACAGGAGGCGGAGGAAGGGGGGGGGAGGAGTAGGAAGAACAGGAGGAGTGAGACTCCCAATGCGTAGCTTCTTGGGGCACTCTTGGGGCGATACAGGGTTGTCGTCCACATGCTTCTTGCGGAGGCCTCTTGGGCATTTCCGAATCCTCATGGAGAGGCCCAGTGGCCACTTGGAGCCGTCTTGGGGCGGTCCTGGCGCCTCTTCGAGGCTCGTTCGAAGCTATATTGAACCGCTTTGGGCTATCTAGATCGATCTTGGAGACCATCTTGGACCCTTTGCGGCCCTCTCGGAGCCATCTGGGGCCATCTTGCGCGCTCCAACCCGCCGCGGGGCCTCTTCTCCAGACGCAGGGGGAAGGGGTCAGGGGGGAGAAGGGGGGTGGGCGGACCGTGCTCGCTGAGCCACCTCCGCCCAGGGGGCGGGTGGGGTCACAGTTGACAATCCGTTGCGCTCTGCACTGCTAGCGCTCGCTCTCGCATCCTATCGTTTCCGTAGCCCTTTTTGGTTCAAGTTGCTCATTTTTGCTACCGCGCCAGCCTCGACGAAGGCAGCGCTCGAGAGGGGGCGCATCGCCAACGTGGGCAGGGCACGCGTCAGGGCCGTGAAAAACGTCTTGGGCAAACCGTGGGTGGCGAAAGCCTTGGAGGAGGCAGTGGCGGAGTTCAAGGCAGCTTCGCACAGGCGTCTGTGCGATGCACTGGCCACTGCTACCCTTCGTTCCACCTCTCGGTTCGACGCTCTCTGCGAGAAGAACAGGAAGCTCACGAGGGATCTCGACGCAGCGACCCGCGAGAAGCAGGAGCAGGCCGACGAACTCAGGAAGCTGCGGCAGCTGGCGCGATCCAACGAGAAGCTGGAGCAGAGCAACGAGGAACTGCAGGAAGAGCTCGGCAAGGCCAAAGCCGCCCTCGCCGACCTCCGCTCAAAGCAGGCTCGCTTCATCTACTGGGCAACGCCCCAGGAGAAGAAGCGCTGGGCCTGGCTCACTTTGCGCCCCGCGAAGTGGGGTTCGAGGCGCAACCGGTCCCTTAGGGGCGGCTGCGTGGGCAGCCAGTGAGGCGCCTGCGCGACCTTTGCACGGGGCTGCTAACGAAAAAACCAACACGCTGCCGCATGGCGTGCCCGCCGCCCACCACGCTCCAGGGAATGGCGTTCGAACTTCGACCGCCAGGTGGCGGCGTCTTGAACGAGACCTTGCTGTCGGGGGATCTTGGATAAGATCCCCCTTGCTTTGGAGGTTCCGAAAAAAAAAACAACTCGACGGAGGGGGAAACGGAGCAACCTACTGACGACGCTTTTTGACGCCCATAAGCTCGCGGCTGCTTGGGCCCAATCGCAAGGTTCTGCCGTTCGTGCTCAAGTGTGCGACTGAGACAGACCCCGAGCCACCAGGTGGCGGTATCTTGAACAAGATCCTTCTGCGTGTCTCTTGGAAAGCACTCCCCTTAGTTTGGGCGTTCAGAGAACAAATCGACAGAGGGGCAAGCGGACCGACCCAATGACAACGCACCCCTGCACGGGGCTGCTAACGACACACCCACGCGCTGCCGCGCGGCGGGCCCGCCGCTCCCCCCGCTCCAGAAAATGACGTTCGAACTTCGACCGCCAGGTGGCGGCATCTAGGCAAGATCCTTCTGTCGGGGGATCTTGGATAAGATCCCCCTTGCTCCGAGGGTTTAGAAAAACACAAGGGCGTCCACGATTTAGGATGCCCCCCTGGGAGCGGAAATCGCAAAGCGCAACAGAAAACGCGGCAGAACCACAAGAACACCGCATCGATGATAATGAACGACAGACGGCGGCAAACTCGCCGCGACGCAGACCCAGCGAGAAACAAGTGCGTCTTCTGCGGCGCAAGAGGGCATCCAACATTAAGGATGCCCTCGTGGCGACGGACACCGCAAAACGCAACAGAAACGCAATGCATAACGACAGGATCAACGCGTCAACAACCACGAACAACATGCAGCTGCAAGCCCGCCGCGACGCAGAAGCAGTGAGCAGCAACTGCACCTTCTGCTGCGAAAAGGGGCATCCCGATTTTAGGACGCCCTCTCCGACGCGGAAATCACAAAACGCAACAGAAAAGAAATGCATAACAACAAGAACAACGCCTTGATGGTAATGAACGACAGGCAGCGGCAAACCCGCCGCGACGCAGAATGAGTGAGAAACAATTGCGTCTTCTGTTGCGAAAAATGGCAAGATCCTGATGCGGTTCCTCAAGCACAAGAAGCGCCGCGACCAGGAGGAATACGACAGGCCCCTCGCCTTCGAGAAGAAGGAGGTGCTCAAGCTCATGGCTGCGTCGCGCGCAGCAGCGGGCGCGGGCGACGGCGGCGAGGATGGCGCCGATGGCGCCGCCGCCGTGGACCCTGAATCGCCTCTGTACAACATGAAGCGGGAGTTCGTGAACAGCCTTCTGAAGTGTATCGCAGACCGTGACCACTTCGCCGTCAAGGAGGACTACTATCCTCTCCTGAAGTCTGACATCCGCAAGGAATACCATCCGATGGCAAACAGGATTTTGCAGACGCTGGCGGGCAACGCGCTGCTCACGATAGGGGAGGCTGGCTTCGGGAAGACGCCGTTCATGTATATCCTCGCCGTGGCGACTGCGAGGCACAATGCAGACGTCGCTAATGAACGCCGCCCAGGTCGTGCCACGGCTGCTGTTCGGGTTTCCGCAGAGATGGACTTCTTCCGCGGGGGGGTCGGGGAGCCTTGGGCGCCGCGCATCTTCGATGACGGCGACCTCGCGGATAGCTGCCTCGCGTCCTCAAGGTTTTCTTTGACCCCGCGCAGGCTGAGGCCATGACCTACGCGCGCTGGGGGGCCGCGAAATTCGCGCGCGGCCGAGCGAGGCGGCTGGCGAAGTCGAAGCTCTTGGCCTTCCAGGTTTTTTCTATATAAAAAAGAATGACTGTCAGGTTTTGTTGTCTTTTTTCCAGAGAAAAGCGAATCCAGGGCGTCGGTCGGCCCCGCGCTTCGTCTTTGCCCAGGTTTGGCGGGGACAACCAGTGCAATTCGAACGCTGCGCCAACTGCCGAGCAGTGGGCGTTCGCGGCGACGGCGCCCGATGCTGCGAAGCGGACTACTGGCATCTTGGTGGACATGATTCGGCCCGCCTTCCCAAAGGGCATGTCCGAGAGCAACGTAGGGGCCATGCTCAAGCGGCGCAACGTCGCCCTCAACACAAGGGAAGATTTCTTATTCAGGCCCGCTGGCAAGGACTCGGTCGCTGAGAAGCTGCCCCTTCATGGGCAGCTGCATCGCGGCCGAGGCGGGCAATATCCTGATGCGGTTCCTCGAGCACAAGAAGCGCCGCGACCAGGAGGAGTACGACAGGCCCCTCGCCTTCGAGAAGAAGGAGGTGCTCAAGCTCATGGCTGCGTCGCGCGCAGCAGCGGGCGCGGGCGGCGGTGGCGAGGATGGCGCCGATGGCGCCGCCACCGCCGCGAGCGGCGCCCCAGCCGGCGCCGCGGCGCCGCGGGAGGCAGGCGCGGCGGGCGGCGCGGAGACCGCGCCCAACGACGGCGGGACGTCCGACCGCGGCGGCGGCGCCGACGCGTGGGCCGACCCCGCGGACGAGGAGGACGTGTTCGGCTTCGGCGGCGACATGCGGGGGCCCGGGCTGTCGCCCCCCAAAAAGCTGACGGCCGCGCGGGACGCCCACGTGAGGGAGATCATCAACTCCGAGGCCAAAGTGCTTATGATGGTGCCGTGGCAGGCGGGTGCTGCTCCTGGATCGAGCGGCGACGCGAGTGCGCCGAGTGGCGCGGCTGCGCCCGCGGACGCCGCGCCCGCCGTGCAGCCCCCGATCGTCGGCTGCCACGGTGCGCTCTCGGAAGAGGACCATCGGGAGCAGGTGGCGATCTTCCGCAGCCTCGCCGAGACCCACCACGGCGCGCGCGAGGACCTGGTCACTCCGCCGCGGAAGACCAGGAGGACGGGTCTGGCCTGCGGCGGGCCGCTCTCCCCCGTGGACATCCAGGAGCAGCAGGCGATTTTCGCGTCCATTGTGGCGCAGGCGCACGGCGAGACCATCGAGGTGGCCGACGATAGCGTCGACTTGGAAGCCGAATTGGAGACGCTCCTCGATGGCGTCGAGGCGGAGCGCGTTGGCGGCGCGAGCGAGCTTCCAGGTGACCTTATGGGCTGATCCAGCGGCAGCTGGCCTGGCGAGTGACGCGAGAACGCACAGGCGAAATGTGCGCAGCGACGCATATTGCTTATGACGGCCGAAGCGAGCTGATGTGAATGCATTCAGGTCTATGCTTGTTCGCTTTCCAGATGTAGATGCCTTCCGCGTTGCGATATGTTGGGCGAGTGTCATAGAAATGCCCATGCGAAATGTGCGCGGACACGAATATTGATTACGACGGTTGTGAACTGTGCGAAACAGCACCATCTTCAGTTGATCTTGTTACTCATCATTCCTCCTCTCGCCGTGCTTCCCCATCTTGCAGATGCCCCTTTTCTTGGACCCCTTTGTCAACCCCCCCCCCCCCCCGGCTGCATTGCATGTGCATTGCATTGCAATCCCATTGCAGCGCATTGCATTGCATTGCGATCGCAGTGCGTTGCATTGCGCTGCATTTCGATCGCATTGCGTTGCATTGCACTGCAATCGCATTGCGTCGCATTGATTTGGAGAAAGACGGACGGGTTGAATAATTATTGCTGCGTTCTGACTGTAATCATACTGTGATCCTGGCGGGTTCGGTAGGGGGAGGAGGAGGAGAAGGAGGAGGAAGAGAAGCAGGAGGAAGAAGCGGAGGAACAGCAGGAGGGTGAGGATGAGGAGGACGAGGATGAGGAGGGCGAATAAGAGGATGATGAGGAGGAGGATGAGGGGGATGAGGATGAGGAGGAAGAAGAAGAGGATGAGGATGATGAGGATGAGGGGGATGAGGGCGAGGAGGATGAGAGGGGAGCAACAACAGCAACAGCATCAGCATAGCAACGAAACCGTGCTATTCACAGTTTGTTGTTTTGTTTTTTTCGGTCGGGGAGGCAACCAAACACTGTTATTCATTTTTTTTGTTTTCAAAGATCTACAGGCATGGCCAGGGGGTGTTGTGGAACGCCAGAAACAAACAAAAACTTGTGAATTGCAGTGTTCGGGGGGAGCATGGCCACGAAACCATGCTATTCACAGTTTTTTTTGGTTTTGTCGGTCCGCCAAAAACCCAAAAAAACATGTGAATAACAGTATTTGGTGAGAGCATGGCCACGAAACCATGCTATTCACAAGTTTTTTTTGTTTTTCGGTCCGCCAGAAAACCCAACAAACTTGTGAATAGCAGTACTGGGTGAGAGCATGGCCACGAAACCATGTTATTCACATTTTTTGTTTTTTTGGTCAGGGAGGCCACCACACACTGCTATTCACAGTTTTTTTTTTTTTTTGCTTTTTGGGTTTTCAGGAGGTCCGGAACATTTCGTTGCCCAGAAGTCTCTTGACCTCCTGAAAACCCAAACAACAAAAAAAACACCTGTGAATAGCAGTGTTTGGTAGCCCTCCTGACAGAAAAAACAACAAATGTGAATAGCATGGTTTCGTGGCCATGCTTTCACCAAACACTGCTATTCACATGTTTTTTTTGGTTTTCTGGCGGACCGAAAAAAACAAAAAAAAATGTGAATAGCATTGTCTCGTGGCCGTGCTCTCACCAAATACTGCTATTCACATGTTTTTTTTGCTTTCTGGCGGACCGAAAAAACCAAAAAAACATGTGAATAGCATGGTTTCTGGATCTCTGAAAACCAAAAAAACAACAAAAAGAAAAACATGTGAATAGTAGTGTTTGGTTGCCTCCCTGACTGAAACAACCAAAAAAACATGTGAATAGCATGGTTTCGTGGCCACCCTCCTCCCGCAAGTCTTTTTGGCGAAGGAAGAGGAGGAGGAAGAGGAGGAGGAGGAGTTAAGGAAGAGGAGGAAAGAAGGAGGAAGAGGAGGGCGAGGGAGGAGGAGGAGGAGCAAACAACCAATGATGGTTTTGTGGTTTTGGTGGTTTGGGGGGTGCTGGGGGGGGACCATATGTATATATATATATATATATATATATATATATATAGGTATATGTATGTATGTATGTATGTTATGTATGTATGTATGTATGTATGTGTGTGTGTGTATGTATGTTGTATGCATGTATGCATGTATGCATGTATGCATGTATGCATGTATGCATGTATGCATGTATGCATGTATGCATGTATGCATGTATGCATGTATGCATGCATGCATGCAGCATGCATGCATGCATGCATGCATGCATGTATGTATGTATGTATGTATGTATGTATATGTATGTATGTGTGTATGTGTATGTATGTATGTGTATGTGTGTATGTATGTCTGTATGTTATGATGTATATATACATATATACATATATATATTATATATATATATATATATATATATATATATGTCTACTCTGTAAGAACAATGCGCCTCCCCCCCAGAAGCGTCCCAAACCTCCAGAGCATCTGGGGGCAGCTCCCGGTACCGCGCCCCCGAGCGTTCTGGGGAACACCCAAACGCCCCAGGACGGCCCAAGATGCCCCGCAAGAGGCCCCAAGAGAGCTCCGAGAGACGTCCCGGGAGCGCCCGAAGAGGCCGACATCGTTGATTTTCATTGTTGTTCGAGCTTTTTTGCCTTCTCGCGTTTTTGAGCTTCCACCGCTCCGAGACGGCCGAAAAGGCCCCCACGACCACCCCAAGACCGCCCAAGAGCGCCCAAGACGGCTCTTCCGTAGCCATTTTAGCTCAAGACTCGGCTCAAGGCTATTTCCGTGCTGTCCGTTACTTCCCCCACCTACGTGAGCATTCGGTTCACATAAACCGCGCATTACGTCTGTTACATCCGTTTTCATCGCCAGCGAGCAGACCTCTTCACGACTCATAAATTCTCGAGACATGACGACGCTTTCAACACCTTGGTATATGTTGTGTCTAGTATTGTCCGTTGCGCAATGTCTTGAGGCATTGCATACCTCTTCCTTTCACACGGATGCGCACGTTCACAATGGCGGATATGATCACATCATGTTGTTTGCGATGGCCAAAGTTGGTTCAGAAACTATGAAGGCGAGCTTCAATGCTACGTACGTGCCCGGTACTCTTACATCGTACCCTCCGATCGTTAAAGTGCATTATGCAGAGGTTGCCAATGATTACATGCAGAGGCTGCCGCCTGGAAGCAATACGTTGGTTATATCCATCGTGCGCAACCCAATTGACCAGCAGAAGTCTTTGTTTTTTTCAACTCCTGGAGGATGGATTCTACCCAGGCCTGAAATTGGGTCAAGCGAGTGTTGCGCAGCTGGTTGAAGAATTCCCCAAACGTATAGGCCCGTCCGCATTCAGCGACCATTGGAAGACTCTGGCGGAACTCACAGGTGTAGATGTGATGGAGCAGCAGTTCGATTTCGACGGGCACCAACTCCTTGCACATAATGCTGCGACAAACGTATCGGTTCTCGTGCTGCGCTTGGAAGACACAGGCTATTGGCAGGAAATCATGAAGCAGCACGTCCCCAATTTTGTTGTGAGGACGCAGAACGTTGGCTCCCAGAAGGGATACGCGGATCAGTACGAAGCCTTCGAGAAGTCTCATATATATATATATATATTCCCACCTGATGCGCTCCGCACGATTCGGTCCCACAAACACAACCAATTCTACACAACCGAAGAGCGAAACCGATTCGAAACATTGGAACGTCATCCGGCGCAGTAATCACGAGGAACGGGCGGGGTGCAATTGACCCAGACTACGCCGCAGATGGAAGACACGCAGTGTCTCCGAGATATATGCATGAGGACAACAGTGTGATCGAAGGATGCATCCGTTTGGAACCTTGCCTGTCGCTCTGATCTGCTCCGCCCTGCTGTCGCCCAGCTTTTCGCTGCGGCTGAGATCCGACGGCGCGAAAAAAAAAAAAAAACGAGCCCCCAAGACGGCTCCAAGACGATGCAAGAAGGCCCCAAGACGGTCCAAGAGCGCCCCGAGGGAGCCCAAGAGAGCCCCAAGATTGCCCGAAAAGCAGCCTGACAGGGAGAACGCAAATCGACGAAGATGCCCCAAGGGTTGCCCCAAGAGGCCCCCAAACAGCCCCCCGGCGGCCTCCAAGCTGCCTCCCACGAGCCCCCTGCACACCTCTGAGGCCCCCCCCCCGATTCCTGCGCACTAGATGTTGGGAGGCCCCACTTGGAAACAACAGGAAATCCAGTGATTCTCGTTTTGTTCAAGCTCATTCCGAGCCCAATCAAGACTCCGGGATCACGCTGCACCTATTTTTCTGGAGTGCTGTTGAACTCTCTGACGCTGTATTGGCACTCTCTTGGGTCGTCTTCTTGTCCTCTCGGCTGCCCCTGAAACCACCGTAAAAATCGAGATTCCATGAGTTCACCTGTCCAGCCTAGCTAGAATGTCAGCGCGCGCGCGCGCCAAGAAAAAGACAAAAGAGAGGACCTGCCCAAGCCTTTCGAGCGCTTTGCCTCAAAATGGCTCCAAGGTTCTCGCAAAGGTTCTCGAGGCGCCCCCCAGATGCCTTCAGAGACTCCAGGGAGGCTTCCAGGAGGCACCAAGATTTTCACACGAGGCCCAGAAAGACTCTAAGACGCCGCCAAGAGGCCCCCAGAGGCGTCCCAACAGTCCATGGCCTGTATCCAGGAAACTTCTGACGCACGTCCCAGGCACGGCAGTTTGAACAAGGGAATTCCAAGAATACCTTTTTTTCGAACTCACCCCCTACTTACTGTTGCACACTGGCCATCATTAAGGTCCACGTCGAAATTTATGATTTCGTGGTTTCCGCATTTCTCCTTCTATACGCTCCCGATGCTTGCGCAGGGACTTCAAGAAGGTCGTTAGATGCACAAGGCACTTCAACAGTTGAGCTTCCATGCGTCAGCCTGTCGAGCCTGGGTAGAACTTGAGCGCGCGCGAAGCGCGCGCAATGGTCCTAGTGCATGTATGGGTATGTATGCATGAATACCTGCATGCTCGCATACATGTATGTATGTATGTATGTATGTCTGTATGTATGTATGTATGTATGTATGGATGGATGGATGGATGGATGGATGGATGGATGGATGGATGGATGGATGGATGGATGGATGGATGGATGGATGGACGGACGGACGGACGGACGGACGGACGGATGGATGGATGGATGGATGGATGGATGGATGGATGGATGGATGGATGGATGGATGGATGGATGTATGTATGCATGCATGCATGCATGTATGCATATATATATATATATATATATATATATATATATATATATCCCTGGGGGCGAGGCCAGGGGCCCCAGGACAGGTGCCTCGACCCCCCATGGGGGAACGGGGGGGGCCTGGAGCCTCCCTGGAGCAGCCCAGGCGGCCCAAGAGTGCCCCAAGAGCGCTCCACGAGGCCCAAATCGTTTATTTTACGAAGGTTTTGGACACATTTTGCCTTTCCCGCCTTTCAGCTTTCCGACGCTCCACGACTGCTGAAAGGCCCCCCGCGGACGCCCCAAGACAGCCCAAGAGGCTTCCAAGAGGGGCTCAAGACAACTCTGGAGGGCCCCAAGACGGCCCAAGACGCGCCCAAGACGGGCGAAGAGAGGCCCAAGACGGCCCCAAGAGGACCCCAAGACAGCCCAAGAGGCTTCCAAGAGGGGCTCAAGACAACTCTGGAGGGCCCCAAGACGGCCCAAGACGCGCCCAAGACGGGCGAAGAGAGGCCCAAGACGGCCCCAAGAGGGCCCCAAGAGGGCCCCAAGACAGCCCAAGAGGCTTCCAAGAGGGGCTCAAGACAATTCTGGAGGGCCCCAAGACGGCCCAAGACGCGCCCAAGACGGGCGAAGAGAGGCCCAAGACGGCCCCAAGAGGGCCCCAAGAGGGGAACCGCGAACCGGAAATTCGAGCCTCCCGCCTCCAGGGCCCCAGGAGGCCCCAAAGGGGCCCCAAGAGGCCCCAGGAGACCGCCAAGAGGCACCCAGGAGGCCCGGTGCCCGAAAACAGCTGCCCCGACCCTCCATGAGGGTACCGGGGCTAATTTTCTCTATGTTTTTATAGTGTTTCCGAGTCCTGGGCCTCGGAGGCCGCCGCCTCCGACCCCCCATGGGAGGACGGGGCGGCCGGGGGGGTCCAAAATAGTCCAGGAGGGCCTCCGGAGGCTCCCAAGACGACCCAAGCGGGCCCCGAGTCGCCGAAAGACCGCTCCGGGACGCCCAAGATAGGCCCAAGACGGCCCGAGAGGCCCCCCAAGGCACTCCACAACGCTTCAAGACGCCTCCCCAGAGCGCTTCAAGAGGCCGAAATCGTCAATTTTACGAAGGTTTTCGAACGATTTTGGCCTTCCAGCCTTTTCGGCTGTCCGACGTTTCAAGACGGCTCAATAGGCCCCCCGCGGACGCCCCAAGACGGCCCAAAAGGGCCCCAAGACGGCCCCAGAGTCGCCCAAGACAGCTCAACAGAGCCCCAAGACGGCCCCGAGATGCGCCCAAGACGGGGACCACGACTCCAAAATTCGACCCTCCCGCTTGAAGAGTGCCCCAGGAGCCCCCAAGAGGCCCCAGGAGGCCCCCAAGTGGCACCCAGGAGGCCCAAACCAGGCCTAAAGAGGCCACAAAACAGCCCGAGGAGGCCCCACAACGGTCCCAAAACGGCTACCGAGAAGCTGCGAAACTGCCTTCACGACGTCCCCGACAGGCCAACCACGAGATCCAAACCAACACCCATGAGGCCTCTGACCCACCACCCAGGGCACGGTGGCGGGAGCAGTGACAGCACTTGTGCACAGCATGTTCCGGCGGGAGCCTTCCGGAACACGCTGCAGGAGGAGGAGGGAGATCAGGAGGAGGAGGGGGACGAGGAGGAGGAGGAAGAGGCCTCCAAGACAGCTCCAAGATAGCCGAAGAGGCTTCCAAGAGGGCCCTGGGCGCCCCTCAGTAGCCATTTTGGCTCAAGCCTTTGTGGCCCAAGATTGTTGGACTCGAGAGCGTCCTTCCTGCGCCACGCCTGGGCTAACCGGCTTCGGGCAATGGCTCCCACATCATGCGGAAGCTTCATGTTCATGTGCCTGGCGTGTGCGGGGCTGGCCCTGACGTGGTGGTGCAACCTGATGATGCAGCCCATGATTGATATGTTGTTGAAGCCATGGGTGCTGCTTGATTCGGGTCACGGTCGTCGGGTAGTCCTTGAGTTCTTCTTTGGGCAGACAGCCAACTCAACATCAACAGCTGCCTGCGTGTCATTATTACTGTCTATTGGTCCGATCGTTATCACAAATTGCCGCGCAACAATGGGCAACCTTCCGACACGCTTGCTGTTCCACTATCTTGGTCTGACAGTTGCCGTCGCATTTTCGTTTCCACTGCAGTGCGCACTATGCCAGCAGCCACAGAGACCTCCTGCCGATGATAGGATGGTGTTGACCTCCACACTCACCATTGGAGGTATTGGAACGTTTGTGCTGCTGGGCACACGCAGCGTAGCTGGCGCCACTACCTGGTGCTATGTTCTCACAGCAGTTGTGCCTCTCATCTACGACCGACTTGCCGCAACATCTGTACCCACAAGCCTTCAGGCCCTTGGCACTATCAATATGTTGGTGTGCGCTGCTTTCTGGGCCAACGCTCTGTGGCAGCAAGACGGCAGCCCATGGGTGTCTCCGGCAACTGCCTCGATCTTCTGGGATCTTGCAGTCGTGTCTATTTGCTCGTGCGCGTGGACTGCGAAGCACGTCGGCGACTTCGGGCTCGCGCTGCTCGGGCTCGCCTGCCCGGCCGCCTGCATCCCCTTCGCGTTCGCGCGCCTGGCCGAGATGGCTGCGGAGGGGTACGTGCCTGTGGCCGAGTGAAGATCACGAGCGGTGCTTAGCTCGCCGAATCGAGCTAGCATCCTTGCCAGCCATCCTCTTCCGACCGTCCCGTTTTGTCGGGTTCCCTATCTTCCTCGCTTTTCGGGCTGAGGTGCACGATTTCGCCGTCGGCGAGAGGTTCCAGTCCACTTAATACCAACTTTGTACAATTTTTGTACAAGTGGACCGTCCAACTTCTCTGCGCGGCTCGCGCCAATTTGCACCATTTTCAATGGCTGTCCGTTGTCCAGCGTTTCTGAGACTTCTGTGAAGGGTCGCGCCGATCAGCACTACTCTCAAATTGTCTGTTTAAAACAGCTTCTGAGACTTTGTGCTTGGCTTGTGCCACTTTTCACCACTTTCAGTGGCTGTCCGGCAGCATCTGGTTGCTATTCAAGCCACCGCTTTGAGGCTGCTGCGTGGGTCCTATCCCCCAGCATGTCTGTAATGCGGTCCGTCCACGAGAGCCGCCGCAGGTTCCTGGCGCCCAGCTGTGAGGCGTGCATCTCGAACCCGTGCTCGAGCGGAAGCCCCTATTCCGCAGAAAAAAAGGGCCTTGGGCGGCCCATGAGGGCCCAAAGGCGGTGCCTGAGGCGCCCAAGACGGCCCGAGAGAGCCCCAAGACGGCCCCAAGAGAGGCCCAAGAAGGGAAACACGAACCGAGAATCCGAGCTTTCTACCCCGAGAGGTTCTCGGGAAGTCCCAAGAGGCCTCCAATCGGATCCAAGAGGCCCCCAAGGAGCTCCCAAGAGGGCCGACGAGGTTCCAAGAGATCTCCCAAGGTGACCCCAAGAGGCCCAACTCATTGTTTTACGATTGGGCTTTTACGGGTTTTACTTTTTTCGGCCTTTTGGCATCCCGATGCTCCAAGACGGCCCAAGAGGCTTCCAATACCGCTTCCATATAGAGGAAGAGGCCTCCAAGAGGGCCCCAAGACGGCCCGCGAGGGCCCCAAGACGGTGCTTGGGGCGCCCAAGACGGCCCGAGAGGGCCCCAAGAGCCACAAGAGAGGCCCAAGAAGGGGAACGCGACCCAACAGCAGAGCGTTCCCCCCAAAAGGCCCACAGGAGGCCAAAGCTCCCCGAGGGCCTAAAAGGCCCCTAGGAGACGTCCAAGAGGCTTTAAAATAGCCCAATAGTGGCCTCGATGCGTCAAAACTGCTTCCAGGAGGCCCCCGGGAGGCTTCCGGATTGCCTCAATCTGGCCGCAGGTGGCCTCAAGTCGGGCCTCCACGCAGCCAAGACGGCTAATGACGGCTTCACATTGCAGAACCGATGCCCCCAAGGGACCCTCAGACGCCCCCCCAAGAAGCACCCAAGAGGTGCCTCCAACAGCCAGTTGACGAAGCATGCGGAACACCCCAGAAGCTCCTCAGATGTCGTCGCGCGCCTGTGCTTTGTAGCGTTGTCCAAGATCATCCAGCGCCCCCCCGGCCTGGGCTAGAACCTGAGCGCGCGCTCAGGATGGCCTGGACAGTATGCCCGGGCCCGGGCATACTGTCCTGAGTCCTGAATGGATGAACATTTCACCCAAATCGACAATTCCCGGATTCCTTGGGGCCTTCGGAGACTCCGCGACAACGTTAAGAAGCCGGGAGTCGCGGTACCGGCCAGATGTCAGGGGATATGTAGAACCCCCGAGTAGGAGTTCGATCTTCATGAAAAAAATGAATTCTTGGAATTCTTTTTTCCCTACCTAGGCTCTGCCTAGAAGGGTTCTTGTTCGGTAAGCTTAAATGGCCGGGCAGTGGGGCCCGCCCCGGGCGGTTCCCCCAGCATCCGCCCCGCGGTTCCCCCAGTTGCGCCCCCTGGGTTCACCCAGCTTAGCTTAGCTAAGCTAAGCTAAGATAAGCTTAGCTTAGCTTAGCTCATGTTAGCTTAGCTTAGCTTCGATTTGCCTAGCTTAGCTTAGCTTAGCTTAACTTAGCTTTAGCTTAGCTCAGCTTAGATTGGCTTAGCTTAGCTTAGCTTAGTTTAGCCTAGCTTAGCTTAGCTTAGCTTAGCATAGCTTAACTTACCTTAGCTTAGCTTAGCGCAGCTCGGCTTAGCGCAGCGCAGCATTAGCTCAGCGTTGCATAGCATAGCCAAGCATTGCATAGCATAGCATAGCATAGCTCAGCATAGCATATCATAGCATAGCATAGCACTGACATAGCATAGCACAGCATGTCATAGCATAACATGTCATACCACTGCTTAGCATAGCACAGCGCAGCACAGCATAACATAGCATAGCATAGCGGAGCATATCATAGCATAGCATAGCAAAGCACAGCAAAGCACAGCATATCATACCATAGCCGATCATCTCATAGCATAGATCAGCATAGCATCGCATAACATATCGTAGCGCAGCGTAACATAGTATAGCATATCATAGCGCAGCATAGCATAGCCCAACATAACAGTGCAGCCGAGCGAGCCCCAGCATAGCATAGCATAGCATAGCGAAGCATAACCCAGCACTGGCAAACCATATCATAGCATAGCATAGCGCAGCATAGCATAGCATATCATATCATAGCATAGCAGCAAAGCAAAACACAAGCAACGCACAGCCGGACCTGCAGTGCTGAACAGCCTGCAGCTCTTGCAGGAGCCGCGAACAGTGCTGAACAGCCTGCAGCACTTGCAAGCAGTGCTGAACAGCCTGCAGCTCTTGCAGGAGCCGCGAGCAGTGCTGAACAGCCTGCAGCTCTTGCAGGAGCCGCGAGCAGTGTTGAACCTAGTGCAAAGAGTGCTGAACAACCTGCAGCACTTGCAGGAGCCGCGAGCAGTGCTGAACAGCCTGCTGTCGCTGGGTGCACAGCAAAGCAAGACAAAGCAAAGCGCAGCATAGCATAGCATATCATATCATAGCATAGCATAGCATAGCACAACACAGCACAGCACAGCATAGCTCAGCATAGCATAGCATAGCATAGCATAGCATGGCTTAGCATGTAGATGTATATGTTGCTTTCCTAAATGCTCCAACCCTTAGGTAGGGTCGCACTGGGATGATTTTTCCAAATCCTCGATCTTTGAGGGCTGGAAGCGGGAAAACGTGAGAAGGCGAAAAACATAGGAAAAACCATTGGAAATCAACGATTTTACCCTCTTTGGGCTCTCTCGGGACCGCTCTCGCAGCTCTCTTGGGCTGTTCTTGGAGCCTCGTCGGGGTCTCTTTGGGGCCTCTCAAGGATGGGGGGTGTGTTGGGGGCCTCTGGGGGGTCCCGGAGGCCTCTCGGAGGTCTCTGGAAGCCTCCTGCTCTCGCTCTTGGGCCCATCTTGGGCCTGTTCTGGGGTGGTCTGGGGCTGTGCTGGGCGCCTCTTCGGCAGTCTTGGAGCCTTCTTGGCCTGTCTTGGGGCCGTCCTGAGGGTCTCTTGGGTGGTCTCGGGCCGGTCTTTGGAGGCTCTTCGGCGCTCTTGCCCCGAGCATCCCAAACTGCTTGAACGGTTCTCACTCGCCTTCCCCAAACCCAGCGCTTGCCCAAGCGCGTTCCGGACGAAAGACCGCTCCAGGACGCCCAAGATAGGCCCAAGACGGCCCGAGAGGCCCCCCAAGGCACTCCACGACTCTTCAAGACGCCTCTCCAGAGCGCTTCAAGAGGCCGAAATCGTCAATTGTACAAAGGTTTTCGATCGATTTTGGCCTTCCAGCCTTTTCGGCTGTCCGACGTTCCAAGACGGCTCAATAGGCCCCCAAGAGCGCCCCAAGACGGCCCAAGAGGGCCCCAGAGTCGCTCAAGACCGCCCAACAGAGCCCCAAGACGGCCCCAAGATGCGCCCAAGAGGGGGACCAGCCAGTTAGAGTCAAGTTTGATTCAAGCCAGTTCGATTCAAGCCAGTTCGAGTCAAGCCAGGCGTAGCCATTTAATTGTCTTAGTCTTGGCTTGGGCTTGCTCGAGGCAGGCTTTATTTTACATCTCCCGCTTTACCTCTTCGCGCCGTTCCCCTCACGCAACCATGGCCTTCATGGCGAGGGCTCTTTCGCTCGCTGACATGGGGGCTCCAGCAGATACCAAGACGGCCCGGGCCGCGAGAGGCCCCACGAGGACCCCCAAGATGGCACGGATGCCGTACCGTTCAGAGGTATTTGTGCGATTCTTCTGGAGCGCATCGAAGGAGTTTTCAGGCGCCCTAAGAGGGAGCAGGAGGAGGAGGATGCGGAGGAGGAGGAAGAGGGCGAAGGAGGAGGAGGATAATGATGATGATATTAAGACTAAGGAATCTTTTCACTAGACTGAAAGTAACACGAATATACAAATCATGCGAATAATAATAGGAACAGAGAATACTACGATCAAGCACACCAGTTTCAATAGTAATAACATTAATAAAATTCTGGATACTTAGAAGAGTACAACGAATCATAATAACACTCTTAATGATACGAATACGAAGAATACCACTAATCATTCGGATATGATTATGTTTAGTATGGCGACGAATGCTAATACTACTATGTATAATACGAATAATGAGAAAACTACATTGAATAATGTTACTATCAACACTTTCAAAAAGGCGAGGAGGAGGAGGAGGAGCGGGGGGAGGAGGAGTGTCAGGAAGAGGAGAAAGAGGAGGTGGAGGAGGAGGAGGAGGGGGAGGAGGAGCAGGAGGAGGAACAGGGGAATATGCAGGAGCAGCATGGGGACAGGACGAGCAGCTGAAACCCCGCCCCACCGCCGCCGCTGGGAGGAGGCGCTGGTGCGCCAGTGCCCCGCCTTGGCCGTGCGCGGGGCGCGGCGCGTGATGGAGCATTGGACGTTCGAGATCTTGGCCAGGCGTCGTCGTCGTCATCGATTCTCGTCGCCACGTCTCGAATGAGCTGGGAAACCTAGTCATGAGGAGTCTGTGGATGTATTGAAGCTAAGTGAGCATCAGCGTCGTCGTCGTCGTCCTCGTCGTCGCCGTCGTCGTCGTCGGTGGCGGCGGCGGCGGCGTCGGCGTCGGCGTCGGCGTCGGCGTCGGCGTCGATGTCGGCGTCGGCGTTGGCGTTGTCGTCGTCGTCGGCGGCGCTGGCGGCAGCGGCGGAAGCGGCGTCGGCGTTGGCGTTGGCGTCGTCGGCGTCGTCGGCGTCGTCGGCGTCGTCGGCGTCGTCGGCGTCGGCGGCGTCGTCGACGTCGACGTCGGCGTCGTCGTCGGCGTCGTCGCCGGCATCGCCGTCGTCGTTGTCGCCGTCGTCGTCGTCGTCGCCCTCGTCGCCGTCGTCGGCATCGTCGTCGTCGTTGTTGCCGTCGTCGCCGTCGTCGCCGTCGTCGTCGTCGTTGTTGTCGTCGTCGGCGTGTGCGGCGGCGGCGTCGTCGTCGTCGACGGCGTCGTCGTCGTCGGCGTCGGCGTCGTCGTCGTCGTCGCCGTCGTCGTCGTCGTCGTCGTCGTCAGGAGGGGTATCAGGAACAGTGAGGATGAGGACGGTGGCATGTCTCCGACGGCTTGGCTTAAGACGGTGGCATGTCTCCGACGAGGCAGGCCCACCGCCCGACAGAGTACGAACGCGAGGGGAGGCGGGGGGACCCCCCCCTACGAGGCGCGCCCTCTGAGCCAGCTTCGCGAACGCGCCTC